ATCAATTGAATTTTCTAAGTAAAGAGCAGACAGAAGAATTTGCTGCAGTCATTCCCACCCAAAACCAATTACATGCAATTTGTCCTTAAAAAAAATTTTAAAATTTTCTGGTTCTGCTACATAAGATTAAAAAAAGAAAAAGTTTTTCTGGTTCTGGACCGATTTTGGACCTGCCGTTCCTAAATTACCGGCTCACTAAATCAGAGGTCCCGAGTTAGGCCCAGCCGGTTGTTTACGTAGGAAGGTAGTGGTAAAAACCAATATTTAGTCCCTCACTTTACAAAATTGATAGGTTTTAGCTTATCATATATTATAATATGACAGTTTTAACTCTTTATCTTACAAAATTGATAAGTTTTAGCCTCTCACCTTACAAAATTAGTAGGTTTTAACTCTTACCTTATATTATGATATTTTAAACCTCTCACTGATATAAATTAAAGAAAATAACCCTCATTTAATATCAGATTATAATATTTTATTGGTTTTGTTAGTTGATTGTTAATATTTGTTAGCATTCGGTTATAAAAAACATGAAATTTAAACTCAATTTTATTTTTTAGTTTCATTAATGGAATGCTAACAAATGCTAACAATCAACTAACAGAACTAACACTCACCTAACAAAACTAATAGAACATTATAATATGATGTTAAATAAGGGTTATTTTCTTCAACTCGTACAGATAAATGGTTAAAAGTGTCATAATATAAGATTATGAGTTAAAAGTGTCATAATATAAGATGAGGAGTTAAAACCTACCAACTTTGTAAGGTGAGGAGTTAAAACTTATCAATTTTATAAAATAAAAGGCTAAAAATGTCATATTAAAAGGTTATGAGCTAAAACCTATTAATTTTGTAAGGTAAGGGGGTAAAAATTGGTTTTAACCGGTCGGTAGTGATGTAAAGATAATTTTTTATGTATTATTTAATAAATATATATTTAATATTATAAATTTTAAATAAATAAAAAAATTAATTATTTAATTGATATATAAAATTATTTAAAAAAAATTGTGTTATTGTCCATCTTGTGATGAACTGTAATATCACAATCATTGGAGGGTTATTTGATATTGAACTTTAGCCTTCCATTTTGTTAATAGTCTTAATATTAAAATTATTACAATACAAACTTTAACACAGAATTTTATAAAAATTATATTAAAAAGTAATATAAAAAATTATTTTAAATTATTTTTTCATTTAATATTTTCTGATTCTGCTACATAAAAAAGAAAGAGGATAATATAAAAATATTCAATCAAAATTATATAATAAATTAAATATAATATAAATTTCATTCAACTTAGGAACACATCATCCTAATTTTTGTTTTATTTTATTTTTAAAAAATTTTTCTGGTTTTGGACCGATTTCGGGCCTGCCTGCTGTTCCTAAATTACCGAACGAGACAGGCATGACTTAGCTAACAGGCTGACTGACAGCAAAACAGAGTTGGTTTTTTTATTTTTTATGGATCAAAACAAAAGTCAAATACCTGCTTAATAAAACTGCAAAGATTGCTAAATCTTTTGTGTTTTTCCCAATTCAAACTCGAAATCCAGGGTTTTAGTATTTCAATTCAATCCACCCCCCACAATTCTTCATTAGAGTTTAGTTGGGGATTAGGGTTTTTTGAATTCATTTCTTCTTCTTATGGTAGGGTTCTTGATTATATTGTTGCTTGCTTAGGTTTCTTTTTCCCCTGAATGTTCTATGCTGCGTTGTTTTATATACCTAAATTCAATTGTTTGTTGTTAATTTGTTGTGTTTTTCTTTTATATTTGGTGGAAAAAGCAGATTGGTTAACGGTATTGTTGGCTTGGGGTGGTGGTGGTGGTGGTGGTGGTGAATTCGTTCGCATTGGATGTTATAAACTTGAAGCTGTAGAAATGTTGGCTCTCATTCGCTGTGGATTTAATATCCCAAACTGTTTTTTTCATTTGGCTGAATGGCATCCGCTCAAATAACAAAGTAGATTATGGCTTGAAGCCCTCTATTTCACGTTTCATTCAGGTCTGAAACCTGAATTCAATCATGTTTCTTTCTTTGAATATATTATTTCAAGTGGTTCAATCTTAGTTCTAAATGATTATTATTTCATCCAATTTTGGTTAGTGCTTTTATTTATTTGAAATCAATCACTAACATTGTGAATGTTGTAAAGCTTTTTTTTTTATTCAGTTAATACATTACATGTACAATTGGATGTACTGTGCTATTGGGTTACAGGGTTTTTAACTCAATGTTATATTTCTTTGCAGATTCTGTAATCGGTTGCTTTTTTTCTGCTTCAAGGTGAGGTTATTCTAATGTTTAGTGAGAACTGTCCATTTGCTTGGGTAATGGGCTGCTTTGGTTGTTTCGGCCAAGGTGGGAGCCCCAGACGAAATCAGTCCCAAGAATGTTTGTTAGAAGAAGAAATACAAGATTGTGTTCCTTCATATAATGGTGAGGTCACTAACATTGCCCTGGGAGATCAAGGTGAGTTGCAAAGCCGATTGAAACGACTTGAAGAGATGTTGAAGTTCAAAGTGGAGAATAGATTGATTTGCAGGCAATTTCCTGTCAAGGAAACAAACAGGCTTTTCTACTCAGAGGTAAGTATGGTAATGGGTTCAGGCCTTCTGTTTTACTTGTATTTTTGTAACATTTAACTACATATTTTATGACCAAGTCTATTCCAGTATTCACTTATTGCTTCTGCCATGACTATTCATTTTTAGCTGTCCTGGTATGCACAGGTCAGTGAACCTGTCACTGCATGTAGCTCAGTTTTTGTGCTGATGTTTAGCCTTATTGGGTTGTTCATCATATATTCTGTATGGTTTTCAATTTAGTTGCTAAGATGCTTAATATTCCTATTTGGAGACAAATGTAAGTGTTTTATGTTACCTTCCTCTGTTACTTTGAAAGTTGAGCATAGCTGCTAATTCTTATTTCCTCATTGCTTAAATTGTGGTGTTTTTTGAATATGAAGCCTTAAGTTATTTTTCCCATCTTTCCAGCTTTTGTGGTTTTATTTTCAAAAAAAAAAAAAAAAATGTCTATATTTTCTTTACATTGCTGGTGAACATACTGAAGAAATCATATGTGAATAGGTTGATAGTCTTGTAGCATTCTTGTCTTCTGCACTTAATGTTCGCATGTTAGGTGCTTTTGCATTATTTGTGCAACTCCATAAGTAACTGTTTTACATTCTGCCTTTATCTGCTATTACAAAAAGTTTTGAATCTCTTAATGTGTTTTCAGGATGAAAATGGGAATAAGATGGTCAACAACTATGTGCGGGAACGTAAGATTGCTTCTGGTAACTATGGAAAAGTGGTAAGTGTGGCATTGAGAGTTATCATGCTGTATTACTTGTTTGGAGGGATTCATTTCTAGCATTTTGCCATTGCTTTCATGACAGGCTTTATATCAGAGCACTACAGATGGAAAGCATTATGCCATTAAGGTATTGGTTTCACTTAATACTGTAGCATATATAACTATTGGGCAATAAGGGTTGGTAACAACTAAGAGTTTCATTTTCAAGCAATTTTGCAGCAGTTATTTGGTTGGTTTTTGTAATTTAACAAATATGTTAAGATAATCTAGGCTGCAATAATCTGTTAATCATGAAGTTGAGAAACTTACCTGGATTTTATGGATATCAGAATTTTATAATGTCCAGTGTTCTGTAGATTAGTTAAAGTTTATGTTAACAAACACTTTCACTTTGAAAGTTTAATGAACTGTCTGTTTAAATTGCAGGCATTCCATAAGTCTCATTTATCAAGGGTGCGGGTTGCCCCTTCAGAGACTGCTATGTCTGATGTTCATCGTGAGGTATTTGCTTGATACAACTGTGCTTTAATCTTCTATGTGGCTGTGTGAGATCAGTAAAATGGATAGATTAATTGTATAATAGTAAATTGTTTGGTGCTAGAAATGGCCAACCCACTAAAGGTATACTAAGAGGGCAAGGGAATTTGTGGTGAAAAATAAAATCCCTGAATGGAAAAGAATGAAAAATCAACGTACATGCTGTTTGAGAGTCATAGAAGGAGTATGATCTGTTTGAGTTTGTAAATAACTAACTCATAATGTTTATGGGGACTTGGGGCCAGTGTTAATACCAAGTTGTATAAGGAACCATATGCATACCAGATCCACCGTGTAACTTGGTACCAGGCCAAAAGGGTTGAATTCCCAAGCCAGCGCAACAGCCCCTTTATGGATAAGGAAAGCTGCACTGCCCACTTGCCCAAATAAAGAACTTGGTTCCTCCCCCTTTTTTTTTTTTTGGTTCTGTTAGACGGGAGCTATATTTACTTCTCATTCTCTTTCAGGTTCTAATCATGAAATCATTGGAGCATCCTAATATAGTTAATCTCTTTGAGGTGATTGATGACCCAAATACCGATCACTTCTACATGGGTATTCATTTTCCATTTCTTCCTTTTCTCTTTTCTTGTTGTATGTATATTCCATTTGAAAGGTTTGTGCATAAATCTGCATCAACATCATAGATTGTGAAAACCTCTTGGGTTGGCAATATTACTGACAACCAATGGTTCTCCTCCTGTTCAGTTCTTGAATATGTTGAAGGAAAATGGGTTTGTGAGGCTTTTGGTGACACACGAGGCATTAGTGAAGATACTGCCAGGAAGTATTTGCGAGATATTGTCTCTGGGCTCATGTATCTCCATGCTCATGTATGATCTCAGATAGCAACCCTTTCACATCCCCACCCCCTTTTCTCTTTTTCATATTTCATTTTTATTTTAACATTCAGTAACCTTCTAACTTTGTGCTGGTTCTGTTCTTACTCTTCCTGCCATTTGTTCTTTAAAAAACAGAATATAATCCATGGGGATATAAAACCTGATAATCTACTGATTACTAGTGCTGGTACATTGAAGATTGCAGATTTTAGTGTCAGCCAGGTGGTTGAGGTAATGATACCTTTTCACCTTTAGCGTTCTTCAGCTAGTTGCATTTCCTGTGGTGATAATTCTGTTAACAAGTAAAAGCAATGAAAATTCAAGGCAATGGGATGTTGCCTGGAGCTGATTTTAATTTTAATATTTTTATAGTGGCTACTAGCTAGCCTAAGATCTACTTTAAGCTTGAACCTGTTGAGCTAGCACTCTCCCACTGACTTTATCCTTTAAGACACTCGGTTTGACTTTTTTGGACTTTTTGTTTCAACATAGTTATTTTTCTTCTTTAAGGATTGTGATGATGAGCTGCGCCGCTCACCTGGGACTCCTGTTTTCACTGCACCTGAGTGCTGTTCAGGTGATGATTCTTGCTTTAGTATATTTAGAATCCAGGTAAAGGGCATTGAATGAATTTATAACTGCACATGTTGTTTGACCAACAGGTTCAACATATCATGGAAAAGCTGCAGACACATGGGCAGTAGGTGTTACTTTGTACTGTATGATATTTGGAAAATATCCATTTCTAGGTGAAACTATACCAGATACATATGACAAAGTATGCAAATCTCTCTCTCCCTCTCCTCCCTGGACTGTCTCTCCCCCTGTCTCTCTAACAACATTGTTCACTTTATCTCTGCAGATTGTTAACAAACCATTAATTCTCCCAGATGATATGAACCCAGAACTAAGGAACTTGCTGGAAGGACTTCTTTGCAAAGGTTGGTAATTCATTTTTGATGAATATCTCTTGCTCTTTATTTCCTGCCCTGTTTAATTGTGTCCTATTGGAAATTTGTCCTTGTTTCTCCCTTGGACAACACTATTCTAAACCTGTGAATGTCTCCCACAGACCCAAGACAGAGGATGACTTTGAATGACATTGCAGAGCATACTTGGGTTATTGGAGAATATGGGTCAATCCCTCAGTACTTGTGCTGGTGCAAGCGAAATACGTTGCAGGGAGAAGAAACTAGTGGGAGCTGCCATACATAATAGGTGTAGACTATAAAATTCTCCCGTTTTCAGTAATTTCATGTACAGTGGAAAAGCTAGTGCATTTGTTTATCCGTTTTGGCTTCACAAAGATTGATCTTTGCATTATAGCAAAATTTTCTGGAATACATCAGATGTGCAAGATGTATTAAATGCAAGAAGAGTTGGTACTAGCCATAGAACTGGCATGGTGGTGTTTCCCAAGTATATGTCAAATGTGGTTATGGTTTGTGAAAGCAGATGTACTTATAATTTACAGTATCGGATAGTGCTTCATGATTTAATGAGAAACATTTGGATGAATTTGAACATTTATGGTAATGATTTTTACAATATTGCTTCTGTATGTCTTTCAATTTTAGGGAGGTTAAAGTAAACAAAAAAACATTCTTTCTAACCCAAAAAAAAAAAAAAAAATCTTTTATCCTAAATAATGTTTCACTATTTAAAGAATTTTGTTTTTACACTTGATATTTTGAAGGATGCTCATCTTAACCCCGATTAAACCTTGAGCAATGAAATTTACTTGTATCTTATTAATAATTTAGAACTATCCCAAAATATAACTAATTTATCAAAATTAATTAAAAATAATAAATTTATATTTTTAAATAAAATACTATTCGAAGAGAAATCACTTTATATCTTATATCAAATGGAAGATATTTACAAGAAAATAAAAAAAATTAAAAAAAGGTTTTAAATTTGCAAATGTAAGTATAGGCATATGCTAGAGGTATTTTTTGTCATAAATTTATATTAAAAATATAAAAATTAACATTAATTTAGTATTATTATTATATAAATAAATTTAATTAGATTGCAAATAAATTAAGTTAAATTTTTTTAATATAAATTTATAATAAATTTTTTTTATACTTTTAATTTATGCATTAAATGTATATGTTAGTAAAACTTAAAAGGAAAAAAAAAATCTTAAGTCTGCAACTATGCCCTTACATTTCAATGTATTTATAGTTCTTATCTTTTAAAAATTAAATAAAAACTTATTTCTAACCTTTTACATTAATAAATTTATAAGTTTTAACTATTTACTTTATATTACGATAATTTTAACCTTTTATTTTTACAAATTGAAAAAAATAACCCCTCACTTTTATGAATTAAAGAAAATAACCCCTCACTTTTATGAATTAAAGAAAATAACATTTTAGATTTATAAATTGAAGAAAATAACTCCTACTTAATGTCAGTTTATAACATTCGTTACCTGACTATTAATATTTTGTTAACTCTGTTCCTGTCATTATTAATAGTCTGTTACTTGACTGTTAACAAAATATTAATAGTCAGTTGACAAACATTATAACTTTATATTAAATAAGGATTATTTTCTTCCATTTATACATGTGAGGAGCTAAAAATGTTATAATATAAATTATGAGGCTAAAACCCACAAACTTATGAAGGTAAAGGGCTCAAAGTCGGTTTTTGCCTTAAAAATTCATGCTGATGCGCCTCGTTCCTATTGGTGTCCTATCTTTACCTCGTAGACGTGACCGTATGGAAGTGTAGCCTCCGATCCAAATTCACGAAATTACAGTTAGTCGTCTCCAGCGCATACGGATTGACGCCCGGCGGGCAAGAAGAAACGTAGACAACGGGAAAAAGCTTCCTCCGATCTGCTCTTAACTCAACCAGTCAACATCAGCTCTTCCTTCCGAAACCCCTAATTCAGGTAATTCTCTGAACTAGAGCTTCTTATTCGATTCTGAGATGCGTTATTTTTCTTGTACATGAGCAAAGATTCAGTGATTTTTCTGTATGTAATGAACAGAATTTGATCAGTTCGATCTGCAATTATGTTTCTGAGGTTTAAATTGAGATTTGGAGCTGGTTACTGTTTCTAGGTCGTTCAGCTTCATGCTTTATGAGATTTTGATACTGAATCTCACAACAACATCATGGTAATGTGTTCCTTTCAAGATTGCTCTACTGTAACAGTTCTTTTACTCTGAACTATAGTTTTGAAATTATTTTTGTGTTGTTTTCTTGCAGAATTTTTTAGTTGGAGCTTTTAAACCACCATGCAGTATTTCAATTTCGTTTGCCGATGGAAGAAGTCGGAAGCAGGTATTTTTCTCTGAATTTCGTAGTTACTTCCTTCCTAACTGTCTGCGGTTGAACTCAATCTAGTTAGTTTAGCTCTGCCTGTATGTGTGTGGTGTATGTAAAAATAACCAGAAGATTTGCAGTAGCAGCTAGGAAAGAGCAGAAATTAGACTAAGGTTCAAAAAGTGTTTCTTGTTGATTCATGTTTTTCTGGTGTTTATTTTCTTCTTAAAGTAGCTTTTTACGCTCTTGAAGTTTGAACTCACGTTTTTCCTTCTATCTTCTTTCTTTTTTCATTTTTCTATGTAGTCAATTTTGATCAACACCTGCACCCAAGTTATTTTAACTTTTATGAAAGACCCTTTAAGCTTTGTAATTGGATGCATTTCATCTTTGAACTTACTTGTATTCACTCAATTTTCTTTATAGGTTCCATTGAAGAAGGAAAATGGTAAAACAGTTATGGTCCCTCTCTTCCAGAGTCAAGAAAACATTGTTGGAGAGGTGATGTCTGTGGCATGTAGCATTAAGAGTTTTTATCTTTAAACTTTGAAATGAATTTTACTACTTTGTTGAACCAAAGAGCTTTTCTGGTTATTTGTAATAATTGCGTAAGAGCATTTTAAGATTTTGGTTTGCTTTTCCAGGTTGTTTTAGAACCAGTACAAGGGAAGAAGGTTGAGCATAATGGTGTTAAGATTGAGCTTCTCGGTCAGATAGGTGTGCTTCATTTGCTTCCTGTTTCACATTTAAGCCTGGAGAATGGGTGTTGTATGTTTAGGACAACTCTATAATTTAGAATGCCATTTCTTAGTTAAGTTGGAAATTTAAATGATGTGCAAGATGAAGTTAACTGTTTAAGATTCTATGGAGCATGCTGAAATATCTAGAATACAGTCGAATCCTTGTAATATAGTTGGTATTTTCATGGCCATTAAGGTGTCCCCCAGTTGGGAGGAAGAAAAAAAGAGTAGATAAACTGGAGGACTGTGTACAACTGGGATTGGTATATGTAGTGGCAATCTTCATGCATGTTACATCAAACTTGTAGCTCCTTCAAGCTAAAGCAGGACTTGTTTCCAATTTCTGAATATTGACCCAATATCATCCATGTCTTTGGATTGGTTTGCTGACTTTATCTAGAGTAGTAATCTCAATAAGAATTGTATAATTACCTTCTATATCATAAAGTGGCTACTTGGTGTAAAATTCTATAATCATGGAAAAAAGGTGTTTGCCACCTTTTTTTCATTGGTATTTTTGTTGTTGTCTCTACTTGATTGTGGCAACTTGCCTTACATGGGGGTACTTCTCACCCAAACTTAGTAATACCCGTGGTTTTGTTGTTGGAAGATAACTTACCAAGTTAGGATGGTATTGTAGTTTCTGGACAATGACATTTCATTTTCCTTCATCACAGAGTTGTATTTTGATAGAGGCAACTTCTATGATTTCACATCACTCGGTGAGTGCATCTAACCATGCTTCCATTCCTTGGCTCCCAACCTGTGAGAAAAAAGATTCTCATTTGCATTATTTTGTATGCAGTACGTGAACTTGATGTCCCTGGTGAACTGTATGAAAGAAAAGCATATCCCTTTGAATTTTCCACTGTGGAGATGCCATATGAATCATATAATGGGATCAATGTAAGGCTTAGGTAGGCTTTCCCATATGCTTTCTTTTGTTAAGTTTCTGCATATAGTGTTTGTGGATCTTACCACTTGTTTTATTATTTTTATTCTAGTTTCTGCTGGCTTAAATTTTTATTTATTTTATAAATTTGATTGGCTGGGTTTATTTCAAAATCTTCTGATTCTTGGCTATATCAATTGACTAGTCAAAGCATTTTGCCAACAGCAAAAAAAATGAATTTAAGATTGATTATTCTAGTTCTTACTTCCAACATGCAGGTATATTTTGAAAGTGACAATCAGTAGAAACTACGTTGGCAACATTGTGGAGCACCAAGACTTTGTGGTAATGTTCTCCCTTGAGATTAGTTGATTTGATGCACATCAAGTTGATTTAATTTTATCTTTTTCTTTTTTTTGGCATCAGGTTCGCAACTATTCTCCTCTTCCATCAATCAATAATAGTATTAAGGTAAGTTCAACACTTGAATCTTGATGCTTTTGCCAACTATGACATACATTGTTGACATGATGTTTCTACTCTGAAAACTGTCACAATACTATCTAATATTTATTTGTTTTTAATGTTGAAGTTAATTTTCTATGGAACTTACACATAGTTTGTGTCAATGTGGCTTGAATTTGTCCTGACTCTCCAGCACAGTTTAGTCCCATGTTTGGCTATATTGAGAATGTTTCATAGTCTTTTATCTGGGTCTTTATATACCATCTTTATTCTTATGGAGTGCATGATGAGCTAAGTGTTGATGTTTTTCTGCCAGTAATAGGAACTGTAAGCTGTGACTTTAACCGTTTCTAAGGCTGTACATTAACCAAGCTTTTTGCTCATAAATGTTCCTTTCTGCTCAGCTTGAGTACTAGTTCAAGATTGTTGATTAAATTTGATAAACAAATTTGAGCTTGATTTTCAAGTGCAGCTGTGTGAGATTTTCAAGGTCATTCTCTAAATGGGCCGAGCTTGAGCTTAGGGATGCTTGTGCTTGTTAAAGTTTATTTAACAGAACTTGTTTGCAGCATAATTATAAGCCTACAGACTTGTTTGTGGGCTTGTTCACATGTTTATTTATGAACTTGTTTGGAAGCATGCTTAATGGTGATAAAGAAAAAAAAAAATACTGTTTAATTTACTTCAAGAGGTTCTTTATGGCTTTTAGCGACAGCAATAAAACTTTAACCTGGAGCTTAATCCAGGCAGTGCCTGAGAATGCTCATTAAAGCATCCTGATTCCTTCATTTGTGATTTTATTATTGACATGGTGTAGATATTCCACAAATTTTTATGATATGCCATTTTTTATGTTTGTACTGATGCTTCTTTAGATGGAAGTTGGAATTGAGGATTGCCTACACATTGAATTTGAATACAGTAAAAGCAAGTAAGTCCTCTAGAGTACATCTTGAAACAGTTGAGTTTGAGGAAATTCTTGGAAGAATACTGAACTCAGTTGGAAATTTTCATATACTTATATTGGGTTTCAAAATAATGAAATATTCAGGTATCACTTGAAAGATGTCATTATTGGCAAAATATATTTCCTTCTAGTGAGAATTAAGCTTAAGAACATGGAGCTTGAGATCAGGCGCCGTGAGTCAACTGGATCAGGGCCTAATACTTATGTTGAGACAGAGACTCTTGCAAAATTTGAGTTGATGGATGGTGCTCC